TCGCCACAGTAAGGACTATGAAATAGCTCAGTGATCCACTATCACCCTATTCAGAAATCTCACCATTACTATCTTATCAAATGCCACACAGAATTAATCTTGTCAATAACAGAATGAAATGCAATCACAACAAAAGCTATAATCACTGCTGTTCGCTGAATTTAAAAATAATTTCAGCACCACTGCACAGACACCAAATAACTGAGCGCCCGGTGGTTTTGAAAGAGTCAAGTGAGTTATAATTAGAGAAAATAAGAAAGAACAGGTTCACTTAATGCCTCAGTGACTGTGTGAGGTGCATCTAAATGATGGAATGGAGGTTGATATGAAACAGACGTTGCACTGTACACCAAGGATACAGTGTCACTATTTTTGGAATAAGGCTTAGTAGACTAGACTCAGGAGGGCTATCGGGGAGGCTTAAAGCACTCAAAGTACTATGAGTGATAGTACGAGTAGTGACAACAAGCAGAAAACACAGAAAGAGTGAAGGAGAAAGGGGAGTGGGGGTAAAAACACGTAACTTTACACTCACAAAACCCCCCAAAACAAAACAGTGAAAAAAGTCAGACCAAAAACCACGTCATTAAAGGAACAGATGGACATTTTGAGAAATACAATTATTTGTTTTCTGGTGGAAAGAAGAAAGTACCACCCTCAGATATTGAATATAATACTGAAAGTGTGAACTTTCACTTTTCATTCAAGATTTGTAACAAAAATTTAGAATTAACTGTTCAGGAATTGCAGCCATGTTTACACACAGTTACTCATTTTCAAGCTACAAGCTAACATTATTTAAATATAAGGATTGTTTTCAGTAATTAGATGAAAGAACCCATTCATCCCTTGAGATGCTCTTCCAGGCCTTAACTGCTGCTACTTTCAGTTGCTGCTTGCTTCTGGGTCAGTTTTGTCTTCAATAACTGAAAAGCTGCTCTGCTGGGTCGAGCTGACCTGGGCATTGGACTGCATTTGAGCAGTTTTGCAACATTTGGAATTAACTGTTCAAAGAACTTTTCCCGTTTTTTTAGTGTAACCAGTTCACCCATTGTTGTAAGCCTTCTGCATTTACATTAATGAAGCTGCCTCTTTATTTGGTGCATGTTCAATAATCAAGATAAGGAAATCCGATACAGTTTGGTTTGTTCATTTGGGTATAGCTTTTCACTTCTTCTTCAGTGGAAAAACTGAGCATAATATCAACGAATTGGTGTTGTTACTATCCTCCTATCATCATAACAATTGTAGTCCAGAATCAACATAGCAACTGACGAGTCACAATATCTTAGCATTAGCCAAAAAAATAGCTAACGCTATTAAAAACTATCACTGGCATACTAATATCAGTAACATAAATCTGGCTAGGAAACCTAACTTGATAATATATTTATTACACTGTTCAAATTAATAAAGAAAACACTGGAAATGTTAATAATTTTTTTTCATGAAGAGGGTTTTATATTAACAAAAGCTTCTTTTTTCTTTTTGCTCCACATTCCAAAGTTATGACATCACAACAACGTGATTGGTCAGATGCAATGTTGATCCTGGACCAACATTACAACCCGATATTACAGATATTACATGCTGGTCATGCTGGTCCACTGCGTCCATTTCACGCTTTGCCTCTCCAAAATGTGAAACAGATACACATGCAGAAGTTGCAGTAACAACAGAGGGAAACATTTTATTTCAAGCCCACAAAATAATCACAGGAAAGCATTTTATTAGACATTATGAACGCATTTACATGTAAATACATATTAGCCGCACAGCTTAATCGTTTCTGGCAATTAGGCACCCTGAAATGAACTTCATACATCATCTCCGCTGGTAATTCAACTTCTGCATGCACAATACAACTTCTGCATGTTCACGTTTTGGAGAGGCAAAGCATGAAATGGACAAACTGGACCGGTGTGCCTATTACATGTTTTGCTGAAGAAGTCACTTTTTCTTCAGACCTCTGAACTCAAGCTAATCTGACCACATCTTGACTGCAGATTTATATTTAAAGGGGATTTACTATTTTGCATGCTACACTCCAAAGTAATCCTCCCTTATTTATTTATTTTTTACTGGATTCTGGTGCAGCCCCTTAGTTCATTCTCAGTTTGAAAAAAGAAGCTTTAGCTCTTAATAAAACATACTACATGAGTAGTATCATGTCATGTCAGCCAGAAAGCAAATAATCATACAGTGGGGCAAAAAAGTATTTAGTCAGCCACCGAGTGTGCAAGTTCCCCCACTTAAAATGATGACAGAGGTCAGTAATTTGCACCAGAGGTACACTTCAACTGTGAGAGACAGAATGTGAAAAAAAAAATCCATGAATCCACATGGTAGGATTTGTAAAGAATTTATTAGTAAATCAGGGTGGAAAATAAGTATTTGGTCAATAACAAAAATACAACTCAATACTTTGTAACATAACCTTTGTTGGCAATAACAGAGGTCAAATGTTTACTATAGGTCTTTACCAGGTTTGCACACACAGTAGCTGGTATTTTGGCCCATTCCTCCATGCAGATCTTCTCGAGAGCAGTGATGTTTTGGGGCTGTTGCCGAGCAACACGGACTTTCAACTCCCGCCACAGATTTTCTATGGGGTTTAGGTCTGGAGACTGGCTAGGCCACTCCAGGACTTTCAAATGCTTCTTACGGAGCCACTCCTTTGTTGCCCGGGCGGTGTGTTTTGGATCATTGTCATGTTGGAAGACCCAGCCTCGTTTCATCTTCAAAGTTCTCACTGATGGAAAGAGGTTTTGGCTCAAAATCTCACGATACATGGCCCCATTCATTCTGTCCTTAACACGGATCAGTCGTCCTGTCCCCTTGGCAGAAAAACAGCCCCATAGCATGATGTTTCCACCCCCATGCTTCACAGTAGGTATGGTGTTCTTGGGATGCAACTCAGTATTCTTCTTCCTCCAAACACGACGAGTTGAGTTTATACCAAAAAGTTCTACTTTGGTTTCATCTGACCACATGACATTCTCCCAATCCTCTGCTGTATCATCCATGTGCTCTCTGGCAAACTTCAGACGGGCCTGGACATGCACTGGCTTCAGCAGCGGAACACGTCTGGCACTGCGGGATTTGATTCCCTGCCGTTGTAGTGTGTTACTGATGGTGACCTTTGTTACTTTGGTCCCAGCTCTCTGCAGGTCATTCACCAGGTCCCCCCGTGTGGTTCTGGGATCTTTGCTCACCGTTGTCATGATCATTTTGACCCCACGGGATGAGATCTTGCGTGGAGCCCCAGATCGAGGGAGATTATCAGTGGTCTTGTATGTCTTCCATTTTCTGATGATTGCTCCCACAGTTGATTTTTTTCACACCAAGCTGCTTGCCTATTGTAGATTCACTCTTCCCAGTCTGGTGCAGGTCTACAATACTTTTCCTGGTGTCCTTTGAAAGCTCTTTGGTCTTGGCCATGGCGGAGTTTGGAGTCTGACTGTTTGAGGCTGTGGACAGGTGTCTTTTATACAGATGATGAGTTCAAACAGGTGCCATTCATACAGGTAACGAGTGGGGGACAGAAAAGCTTCTTACAGAAGACGTTACAGGTCTGTGAGAGCCAGAGATTTTCCTTGTTTGAGGTGACCAAATACTTATTTTCCACCCTAATTTACGAATAAATTCTTTACAAATCCTACCATGTGAATTCATGGATTTTTTTTTCACATTCTGTCTCTCACAGTTGAAGTGTACCTCTGGTGCAAATTACTGACCTCTGTCATCATTTTAAGTGGGGGAACTTGCACAATCGGTGGCTGACTAAATACTTTTTTGCCCCACTGTACTTCTCTGAATGTCAAAGTAATCCTGACAAAAACTGAAAAACTCATTTTCTTAGTGCACTACGTTCAACCCTCTGTGGATGTTGGTTATTTATTACACAATCCTGAAAAGAAGATTTTAATATTTGGCGTTGAGTGGGGAATGGGGAAAAGTTTTGTTAAACAGTGGGATCTTTTCTCTGAGGGTTGTCCGTCTCCATGGTAACAGTCCATGGGCTGCAGGTGAGAGGTAGGGAGGGTCTACCCAGGTGAAGTTAGCAGGGCTGTAAGCAGTGGAGCTATCAAAGACATTCATTTGTACACGCTGTATGTGATTTAAGAGCAAACTATACTGTTGCTTCCCCAGTTTACTCTTCTGTATTGTTTTAAAGACACAGGGCTCAAACTCCTATACAACTGCAGCCTTTCTGTCTGAAAGCAGCAGTTTGGAAATTGTGCATAATTTTAGTTAGTGTCAGCGCAGCCCAAGGAATCACAGATATTAAGGGATGGTGCTGCACATCTCTATCAGCTGCTGTATGGCCAGCAGTGCATACTAAACACCACCTCACTGTGGACATGCCTGAATGCAAAAACATGAGGATTACCGGGGAAGAGGGGAGAATTCCATTTAAAAGATATGTGATCTGACAGCGTTACAAAATCAGGCTTTCTGTTTCCCTTTAGGCCAGGGGTGTCAAACTCAAATACACAGTGGGCCAAAATTCAAAACTGGAACAAAGTCGCGGGCTAACGTTAATATTTATTGAAAAAAAATCTTCCTCTAGATATAAGAATGATTCTTTTCTTATGGACTCAAACAAGTTTTGATGAAAAACTGAATATGGAACAAGCAAAGCTTAATACTAAACAATATATATATTAGCTGTATAATACCAGTAGGCCAGCTCTAATAGTAATTTGGTATGGCTTCGCGGGACAAATGTAATTAGGCTGCGGGCCAAATTTGGCCCACGGGCCAGAGTTTGACACCTATGCTTTAGGCTATTAAATGTGATCTTTTCACTGCTCTGAGTTGTGTATTGATCAGCCTTTGATTTGGAATATTTTTGTGCTATTTGTCTCATACCTATGACCTCAAAGAGCAAAAGATTTTATTATGTTGACCACTCCTACAGCGTTGTACAGAAGCCCCTGTTCATTACAGCCCTGCCCAGACAGAGGAGTCCCTTACCAGACATGAATGAGACTCACTTGGGCGTGAGGCGGGGGTCTCCGTAGGGTGCATAGGGAGACATGTTTAAGAGGAACTCCTTGGGTGGGTAGGAGCTCCACCTCTGTTGGACATTGCTGCTGTCATTGTTATTCCAAAAGTCTCTGTCTAGATCGCTGTAGCCAGAGAGAAAGCAAAAGGTGAGACAGGTGAGAGCAGTAAACAATCACAGACATATATAAAGAAGAGAAAACAAAGCAGATCTCGAGAAATGTTGATAAATAAATTAAAAAGAAAATCTAAAAAGAAAAATACTCTTTTTAAATACTTTTAAAATAAATTTAACATGAATTTGGCTACAGGATGACTACAAGTTTATGGTCACCCAGTATCATGAAAAGTAGGTCAAAACGCTCAGAAAGGAGGAGGATGGAAGGACGTGACCTGTGTGTTTTATCACGCTGTCAATGATGAGGAAACAAAACAAAGGAGATAAGGAGGCAAGGGAGAAAAGTCAGTATGAATTTAAAACACCAAAAAAAAAAACAAGTCAGGTATGCACTCAGAATAAAAACGTCAAAGGAAATAGCTCAAAAAAGCTAATAGATTTGTGGCAAGTTGTTAGCGTCACCCTCTTGTATTCAATAATGCTTAATTATATTTGAAACAGGGGCAGAAGTATATTCATAGCTGTCGATATCCTAATCTTAACAATTAGCTTAGTGTGCTTATTTCTATTTATTCCAACTAGAGCAAACGGTGAGCAGGCTGTTGCTATGTCAAAAAATTGGGGAGGGGTTTAAATATAAGGTAAAGACCATTTACCATAATGCAGCCTTTGATTTACATCAGCAGACCAGGAGGTCAGAACATGATTTTCAAAGAGTGATCTAAAAATAGCAGCAATGTTGGAAGTGGTCCAGAGCTGCCCAAGGACAAATTTAAATCAGGTAGTTTTTTTTTATGGGCACAGTAGCAGCGTCACACATCGTATATATATATATATATATATATATATATATATATGATAAATGCTCACTATCTTTAGGGCATAATTTCAGGGAAAGCATTTGAGTCCACGCACAGAGCTACAAGATTAGTTTGCAATCACAAATAGCTGTTTAAATGTGATACTATCACCACATCATACATTATTCCCACGTGCCCCATCTACTCCCTCCCTGACACCTACTTGATGGCTTTATTTTCCCCTCGACCTCTCACTGAATCTGGAGAGCTGGCAGCCTCCATCCCGGGCTTATTCCTCTTCCCCTGCAAAGACACGAGAGAGACAGAGAGAGTAAGAGGGACACACATCTTAGAGGCGTGTTTCTCATCGTTTATAAAGGCATCTGTGCAAGTCAAGTGTTCATTACTCAGGTTTTTAGAATAACATCAGGTTCCAACACATGTTGTAAAATGTAATAAATGAGGGAAGAGTGCACACTGGTTTGATGCCAGGGACCACTTAACTAAAATGAGATGCAAATACACAATCTCACATGCATGATACATGGGCAAAAATGTTTTCGCACACAAGAAGCACACACGCAGACACACACACACAGCGCAGCTGCAGGCTACATCAGACTTAAAGTGAAATCAGACACATTAAGATAATGAGATAACTCAAGATTTCAAAACAGGAAGTCATTCGTGAAAGCCTTCGAAGGTGCCACCGCATTGTTTATTACAGCTGAAGCTGTAGTTACAGCATAGCCGGAGGGCCTGCACATATCACCACTGCGCCTATGCTGTGATGTGTGTCTCCTCAAAAAAATCAAAGTAGTTTTTGGGTCTACAACAGCTTTTGTTTTCTGAAAAAGCTTCCCGTGCTTGTGGAGATTGCTGTGCATGTTTTGATAGTTAAGATTGAACAAATAAGTTAAATTCTCCATCGCTGCCAGGAAGAGTCAATAAAATGTAATGGAAATCTAACTGACATGCCTTTACTGTAGTGTCGCAGTAGGTGAAATCAGATGCTGGGCTGTACCATATATAAAAAAGCTGCAGGTCATGCAATTAAACCTCGGCATCGAAAAAATCTGTGATATGATATGAAACAATGATATGTCAGATCTTATATAAAAGGGAAAAAAACACATTTACAGACTGGAAATCTAAAGGGTTTCCTCTCAAACCGAAAACAGCTGCTTTTTAAGGTGAAGCCAGCTCATTTGGGAGACGGTGAAATTCCAACCGGGCAACGTAACTGCATACATTGCTGCTGCGATGGCTTATAAACCGTATCTTACCTACTCTGTGCAAATATTTTCTACTTAATGGATAGTGCTTTCAGCAAAGCAATATACAGTAGTTACAGTTATTGACCTCTATGTTTTATTGAACTCCGTATTTATTAAACTCTTGGGGGTGATAACACTGAGCTCTTTCCCGCTGAGTCACACCGACTCTCGCTTCTTACATAATGTTTTTCCATTATAAGCTCACGACAACGACATGAGGTGCACATATGTAATAAAGTGTCCACCAAATAGGCAAGACATAAAATTGCTGTTAGACTTTTTTATGTTTGCTTTGAGGCAAATTACATGTTGGACTCGTTCCTATTTGAAGATTTCAGCTACATTACCATCTGTTGCTGTAATTAATTATCCATAAAATCAACTTGACATGCGTTTTAATTACATATGCATATTTTCATAAAAAATATATACCAATCCTCTCTACGGACTATTAATAAGAATATCGCACCATGCCAGAGGGGTAAAAAACTCAAACTTGAAATGTGGTGGTGACATTTTAAATTTAACATTAATTTCGCAAATGCTGACTAATTGAGTGTTGAAGGGCAGGTATTTATATTATTTTAATCTTTTTCTCGTTTTCTTGCTTTTTCTCAGTGTGTCTCTTAGAAGCTGTTTGAGGCCGAAGGTGTGACGTGATTCCTTCCTGCACTCTCGTCACAGCTTCGACAAACAAAGGTGAATTTTAATGTCAGGCCGAGAGAAAAGCAGCCATAGTGGTGTTGCTTGAACACAAACATTATATTGTGTACTACTTGTACTTTTCCTGCTGTTTGAGGGACCCTACAAATGTAGGAAACATACAAATTTAAAAGCCGGCTGAGCAGTGAGTTCACACCCAGGGCAGACATACTGCTAGTGACACACTTAACAGCTACTCGTCCCGCAGCCATGTAGGTAACATAAAGAAATGATGAGGACAGTCTAACATCAGGATTTGCTGTGCTGCTCTTCCTTACATTATATGTACACATCATCCACAGTGGATTTTAATTCAAACAATAAAGATGTGGCTAAAGTGCAGACTGTCATCTTTAAGAGAGGAAACAAATGCTGTGTTTCCTCCCTTGAGATCCTTTGCCAGGCTTTAACTGTAACATCCCATTTGTTTTAGGTTGACAAACTCACACTTAAAATCAATCCTTTGATTTTTCTGAAAATCGACAGTGCCCCTTATAATCCCGTGTGCCTTATGTATGAATTCTGGTTGTGTTTACTGACCTCGAAATGATTTTATGTACACGGCGCTCAAAAATCTGTCAAATGTTTCAGTACGACTTTGCTAAGCTACGAACCCGCAATGCTTGATGGATTGTCGGAGCATTACGGCTATCATAGGCAGGAGCCTCACGGAGTGATACGTACTGTGCTTCAACATAATATTACCGTATTGTGTGTGTATATAACCTCTTTTTAACCCTCCTGTTATGTTGCGGGTCAGATTCACCCAGAACAGAAGAGATGTCATATGTCATCTGCATCACTACAGAAAAAAAAAAAAAAATCTAAATTATAAAACAAAACTGTAAAATAATCAATGCCAGTGTTTCTGACACTTTTGGATGAGTAAACATGCCCCAGGTCAAATTGACCCAGGAACATAATTAGTGTTCCTGGAAACCAACATAACAGGAGGGTTAAGTTTTGTGGATAGTCTACATGGTTAGGGTTATGGTTTTCACTGGAAATGCCTTTTGGTTAAACTGTCAGCAAGGAATTTGCATTTGCACAGTTACATTTTTATATAACTTTAATGCAAATAAAAAACAGCTGCTTGTTTAAGTGAAAATACATTGATGGGTTTTTTTTGCACTAATAAAGTTGTGGAGTTGTAAAGTATTTTGTCTAGTGTCAATTATATCGTCAGTTATATTGTTATCGCAAATTTTCAAATGTATATCGTGATAAATATTTTTGGTCATATCGCCCTGCTCTAGTGCAGTGTTCAATACTGTTGACCATAATATTCTAGTAGCGCGGTTAGAGCACGCTGTAGGTATTTCAGGTACTGCGCTGCAGTGGTTTGTATCATATCTATCTAATAGACTCCAATTTGTGCATGTAAATGGAGAGTCCTCTTCACGCACTAAGGTCAATTATGGAGTTCCACAGGGTTCAGTCCTAGGACTAATTCTGTTTACATTATAAATGCTTCCCTTAGGCAGTATCATTAGAAGACATAGTATACATTTTCACTGCTATGCAGATGACACCCAGGTCTATCTAGCCATGAAGCCAGGTAACACACACCAATTAGTTAAACTGCAGGAATGTCTTAAAGACATAAAGACCTGGACGGCCACTAACCTTCTGCTTCCTAATTCAGATAAAACTGAGGTTATTGTACTTGGCCCTGAAAAGCTTAGAAATATGGTATCTAACCAGATTCTTACTCTGGATGGCATTACCTCGGCCTCCAGTAACGCTGTGAGGAACCTTGGAGTCATTTTTGACCAGGATATGTCCTTCAATGCACATATTAAACAAATATGTAAGACTGCGTTCTTCCATTTGCGCAACATCTCTAAAATCAGAAATATCCTGTCTCAGAGTGATGCTGAAAAACTAGTTCATGCATTTATTACTTCCAGGCTGGACTAGTGTAATTCATTATTATCAAGATGTCGTAAAAATCACTGAAAAGCCTTCAGCTAATCCAAAATGCTGCAGCAAGAGTACTGACAGGGACTAGAAAGAGAGAGCATATTTCTTTTTTTTTTTTTTTTTTTTTTTTTTTCTTAAATGACATCAGAAACAGCAGTATGCGACATTACGTGATGGCAGAGCTTCAGTTCATCCTTTGTCATTTTTTTTTTTTTTTTTAATAAATAGGACAGGGGAATGAATGAGAGAAAGAAAGAAAACCAAAGGGGAGAAGAGACGGTGAGAAGGGGGGGAAGAGAGAGAAAAAAAAAAAAAAGAACTCCTGGGTCACCTGTATGGAGAAAAAAACAAACAAACAAACAAACAAACAAACAGAGGAGACAGCAAACAACAAAGAGTAACATAATAATAGAGAAAAAAAAAGCACCATCGCAATAAACTAGCTAGTCATAGATATCAATATTTACTAAATAATAAACGATATTGTGCAGCACGCAAGATAGACAGCGCACAGTGTGCTTTGAGGCAGCAGCCAAGAAAGCTTTAGTCCGCGTCTGTGAATACCCATGTGTGCATACCTGTGTGGATCAGCATGCTTGCATTCCAAAGGTTTCTCCATGTAATGATCTGCTAGGGAGTGTGGGGGGCCACAGCCCCGTCCTCCAGGGTGTGAAGCGGGTATGGAGGAGATCAAAACTCCAGACATCCAGAGGCCCCCAGAACACAAGAGACCATGGAAGACCAACAGAGGGGCAGCCGCGCCACTGTTCCAGTAAGAGCTGAGGAGAGTCCCAGATGAGGGCTCGCCCAGCAGCCGCGGAGCAGAAGTCAGGGGGAGTTGCAGTGACGCGCCCGTGAGCTCCGCCGGCCCCCAGCTGTGCCTGAGTGACCGAGCCCCAGGCCGAGAGGCCGGGGGCACCCCACCTCCAAAGGGGCCCGAGCGAGCCCCAGGCCCCAGGCCCCGACAAGCGGCCGCCAAGGAGTGAGCCGGTGTGTACCCGGACGCCCACCCCAGACACAAAGAACCACCAACACACCGACACCTGAGGGAGTCCGCCACCGGCAGGGGAAGTGGTGGTGGGTGGAGATAGGCCTCCAAACCTTGGAGGGCCTGAGGTGTCCCCAGAGAGGTGGCGTCTGATACCCAACCTGACATATAGACACAGACATACAGGCACACACAGACACAAACATCCATTCCCACCCTCATGCTCTCATATGCACTCACTCCACACTCAACCAACGTGGAGACAGACATAAAGAGACGCTGTACACACAATCACACTCCCCAAGCGTACTCTACAAACCGGGTCTAGGTACCCTTGCCCCTGGAGGGGGGAATTGCACCCAGACCCAGGTGGTGTTACCCTTTTCCCTGCGGTGGGGAGAGGCAGACCACCC